GTTGTGGGCGTGGGGCCCCAGGGTCACAGATGGCTCTTTTGGAGTTGTCCTATAATTAGCCAAACACAGCAGTGTCTCGATAAATGGCATGTTTAGTTTTCACTAGGTTTTAAAAAAATATAACAAGTTACTATTGAAAGAATTGCAGAATGACTCTTAAAGGCCAACAATAACTAAAAAGCAAAATCTTAATAAGTCTTTAAAGGGCAAGAAAATCCATGAAGAAATATAAACCTGTTACTAACGTGAAAACTGAGCAGAACTTCTAAAGCTGGGCTTTTAATAGTTGTGTTCAGGCCCCTGCTGGCTCAGCAGGAAAATGAAAGGGAAGCAGCAGCCACCACCCTGAGTAAATATGCCCTGCTTTCTCTTCCTCCATTCCAAATTCCTCAGCTTGCTAAACACACTCAAGTTTAGCTCTCCATAAGTTACGTGGTTTCAAAGTGATCCTCTCGGATATTTCTATCACAAATGGAGAAATACTGCATAATTCACCTTATATGAAGTATCTGACAGAGTCAAAGTCATAGGAACAGAAAGAGGAATGCTGGTTGCCAGGGGCTACAGGGAAGGGGATTGGGGAGTTCCTGTACAATGGGTGTAAAGTCTCAGTCATGGAAGATGAATGTGTTCTAGAGATCTGCTGTACAGCATAGTGCCTGTAAGTCAATAGTACTGTAAAGCATACACTTAAAAATTTGTCAGGAGAGTAAATCTCATATTAAGTGTTCTTAACCCAATAAAATAAAAATAAACATAAGGACAATGTGGTGGGTTTTCCATAAAGCTAAATTTGTTCTGAATTTGTGCCCTTTCCAGTTTTAGCTGTTTAAAAAATCAAGGTCCTAGGCAATGATTTTTCTTTTTTTTTTTTAACATCATTACTTAGCAAAATAAAAAGTTAAAAATTCTGGGCAGTGGGGCAGTGGGGAGCATCTCCTTTTTCGAAAGGCATAAAGCTTTCGTATCAGAAAAGGTGGACCAAGCAGAATGCAGCATAGCCTGATGGCCAAGAGACTGGACTCTGGAATGAGTGCTCCAGGCTCCGCCCCACCCCGCCCCGTCCCCACTTCTTACAAACCATGAAACCTTGGGAAATTGCTCTGGCACTCTGGGAAATGCGTGTAGGACCTCAGGGGCTGCTTTGAGGACTAAATGAGTTTATCCTTGTAAGAAACTTATAAAATGGACAGACTCTAGCACACAAGAGCCATGACAGATGTCACAGGACACTGCACAGTTTTGCTTCTGCTTGAGAAGATAACATCCTCTGATGGGAAATGGAACCATAGGGCTTATATCCATTAGTCAAGAGTCCTGCCCCCCGTGTTTTAGTCTCCTATCCTGCCATAACAAATGACCACAAATTTAGTGGCTGAAAGTAATACAAATTTATATTATCTTAGACTCAGTAGGTCAGAAGTCTGGCGCTAAATCAAGGTGTCAGCAAGGCTGCATTCCTTTCTGGCGGCTCCAGGGGAGAATCCATTTCCCCCCTCATGCAGGTTGTTGACAGAATTCATTTCAGTTCCTGTGGTTGTAGGGTCAAGGTCTGTTTTGCTGGCTGCCAGCGGAGGGCTGTTCCTAGCTTCTAGAGGCTGCAGCTTTCATTGGCTCACAGCCCTCTTCCTCCATCTTCAAAGCCGGCCACTGCAAGTTAAATTCTTTTCATGTCCCATTTCTCTGCCCCTGTCTTCTGCCTCCCTCTTTGACTATAGGAACCCATGTAACAATCCAAACTAATCTCCCTGTTGGAAAGTCAGCTGATTACCAACCCAAATCCCCATGCCACATAAACTCTCCTTTGCCAGGTAAAGTAACAGAGTCACAGTTTCCAGGATTAGGATGCAGACATCTTTGGGGGAGGCAGTATTCTGCTGACAGTATCAGTGAACTGGGATTTCATTGGGGTCTTTAACAGATTGTTTATCTGTACCTTTTGTTTCCTCGTCAAAAAGTTAAGTGACTTTTTACATAGGATAAGTAATGTTTATCGAGCACTTGCTGTGAGCTTGGCCCTGGGTACTAAACTCTTTGTTCACGAAGAGTCTCTGAGGCAGGTTCTGTTATTATCCCCATTTTACAAATGAGGAAACTGCATTTGGGGAAGTTAAGTAATTAAAATAATCAACTAGTGAGGGGCTCAGACATTTCAGTGGGATGCTATACCTCAGAGATTTGTCCAGAAATCCCTCTTTACATGGCAGTGCATACTAATTAGGAATAAATGTTTAGACTAAAACAAATGTTTTGATTTTGCTAATAGAAATGATCATTCATGTTCATGGATGTGGTAAGGAAATAAATTTTCTTTTCTAGCCTAGCCAAGTTGACACATCAAACTAACCATAACAGTGCTATTTAGCTTATTCCTCTAGCCCTATATAGTCCAATATGGCAGCCATGAGCTATTGAGGACTGGAAGTATAGCTAGTGTGAATTGAGGTGTGTGCTGTAAGTATAAATTCACAGCAAATTTAGAAGACATGGTACAAATAAAAAGAATGTAAACTATCTCATTTTTATACTGATATGTTAAAATAATAGTATTTTAGATATGTTGGGTTAAATAAAATATAATAATTGCTTAAAAATTATGAAACCTGGGCACCTCAGTGGCTTAGTCAATTGAGCTTCGGACTCTTGATTTTGTCTCAGGTCATGGTCTCAGGGCCCTGGGATTGAGCCCTGTGTCAGACTGCACTCAGTGGGGAGTCTGCTTAAGATTCTCTCCCTCTCCACCCCCCCCAGTCATGTGTGTGGTCTCTCTCTAAAATAAATAAATCTGAGAACAGGCGCCCTACCAGGGCACCCCTAAATAAATAAATCTTAAAAAAAAAACAATGAAACCTTATAGGTATCAAAATTAAATTATAAGGAGAATCAGTTATAAAATATTTCAAATACAGCTGTCTGAAAAATGCAAAAAAAATAATTTCTGGCTTGTACTAAATCACAATCTGTCTTTTGAAGTTGGAGAATGTTATTTTTTTTCTGAGATCATGTCAGTTTATGCCAAGAGAGATCTGATTTGTAATAGGGTGGATGGGCTCAATATTTCTCTAGTGAGATATTTGACTGTCATGTTTTGTTATACTATAAGTGATACATAACCAAACAAGAAAAATTTCCTAGCAACAGAGTTGTTTTCCTCAACCAGAATATTTCATGTGCTCATTTTCTTAATGTCCAAAAGATAAAAAAACTTATGAATTATATTTTTGAGATTGAGATGCTGGCAAGTATAGATAGTAGAATATATAAGACTATCACTAGAAGTACTTGGCAAGCATTACATAAGGTAGTTCACACCTAAAATATATTTAACTAGGTAGAGAACTCCATGGTTTTTATGACAGACCCCACTGCCAGACGTGGTTATCTCACTTAGCTTCGTAAATGAAGCCTCTTTTTTTTTATTTCTTTTCTTCATTAATTACATACCCAAACATTTTTTTAACCTCATCAGATCTCTAGGTTGTACTGCATTTAATTTGTTTATTCAACAGATGTTTAAGTACCATGTGCTAGGAGGTCCTAGGAATATTGTGCCCTCATGAAGCCTATATATTAGTAAATGATTCAACTTATGTATTAGTAAATGAATGGAAGAATTATACAAATCAGGAAGCATATGATGCTGTGAATGTGAATAAAAGGTTCTCACGTAAATTGAAGGACATGTGACAGCCTTGATCTAGAGGATGAATAGCATTTAGCTAGGCAGAAATTGAGATTGACCAATCTAGGTCAAGAGATACATTTTGCTAAGTTCTCATCCTAGGAAAGAGCTTGGCAGGTTGGAAAAGCAACAGCAAGAAGGCCTCTGGGTGTGTGTTTGTGTTTGTGTGATTGTGGCTCTCAAAGAATACAGCAAGGCACACAGTACTGAGTTCTGTAGAGCTCTGTTCAGAGCAATAAGTAGACATGGGTGTTGTATGATGATCCACCAAGTAATACATAAGGCCTTGTTGCCCAGAAGTTCATCATCAAATGGATGTGGTCTGTAGAATAGGGTAACCATATAATTTATCATCCAAGTCAGGATAGGCTTGAAAGTGAAGGGGGGTGCTATTAATTATGCTAGGACAGTGGGTATAAACCAGTATAACTTGGCAAGCCGGGATATATGATCACTGTGTTGAGAGACCAGTTTTCAATCACTTCAGTAAGCCTGGAGTTGCTTAGAAACCATGCTCTGAAATTACGGGGTTAGTTATGTATTCTTGCATTCTCACTCCCCCTGCTCCTTCACCCATGGATAACTGCGAGAAGGCCACCAAGAGAATCTGCGCCCAGTCTAGACTCCAGAATTCCAGCCCCATTGACCACTCACTTGCAGCCTACTGTTTGCAGTTGCCATGTCATGAGCGTTCACGTCCATGGTGGATATCAGTTCTTACCAACATGTTTTCGCAAATAGAGTATTGAAAACATATAGGAAGTAAAGCCTTAAACATCTGGCACATGTAATTTTCCTACTAGAAACTTTCCTACATCACTTCTGGTAGATGACATGACCTAATTATACATTCCCAGATGCGGCCAGGTGGAATGGGTGTGGTCCAATTATAACCACTTTCATTGTAAACGTGTTTTGTGATTTGACCCCTATGGCGGATGATGCACACAGAACAGCTTTATTCTTTATTTTTTTATACTTGAACAATGGTAGCAGCATGAAATAGTAAAGAGATCTTTTCACTCTTGATTTTTTTATAGAATCAGCTGTTAGGCTGAATCTCTGTGGTGAGGATTAATGAAGCTTTAGTCCCAGCTCTACTCCAAGCCTAAGTCACTGTCTACAGTGGAGCCCCCAGGGAACCCTAGTAATTCCTTTAGTTAACTAAGAAGTAGGTCAGGTTGCATTATAAGAATATTTAATGTTGTATTCAGCCAAATACTAAAGATGGGCACTTTGAGACATTCCACTCTTTCTTTAGAAGTTTCACTATTTCCTTTTTAAACTGTATTAATATTCTTACTTTTTGTCTTACAAGCCAGGAAATGTGAAGAATTCACCTGGAAATAAGTAGAATGCTTCATGCTCTGCCCATTTTAATCAGGTAAAGAACAAGAGAACGCTATAGTCATTTTTAGTATTGTTAGCATCAGCTGAAATGACTTGTCCTTAATTTAACTTAATTAATTATATCAGTTTCAGCCTCATGTAGATACATAAAAGGGCTGGGTTGATGTTTCATTCCATCCTTAATTTGTGGACTTAAGTGCCTTCACTTGTTTGTGTTCATTCTTAAGCACCTGGGTTTTTTGTTTTTATTTTTTTTTAGACAAGCTAGAACTTGGCAGTTGGGATTTGTCTACAAAACTGTTTCAAACAATTGAAAAGTGTCATTATTTCTTAGGTTTATGGTTTTTTTTTAATAGCACTTTACTATAGTAGGTACCCTTGTATTCATCTGATAGTCATTAAATAAACATTTATTGAATGAATGATGGTTGTAGAGAAGCTCAAGATTATATAGAAATATTATTATAAGTGCCATAGGGAATTCATAGGTATAATTATTCTTTCTTTAAAAATTGAGTAACCTGAGGCTAGAGAAATTTAGGATACCAGATGAAGTCAGAAAAATCAGTATTATTCCTTCTCACACTCAATTCACTATTTTCATTCATTTATTCAATATTTACTCATGAGTACCAGCTAAGTACAAAACCCTAGTTATATTAATATTGGTTTTTATATATTAAAAATTATATAATGGCACTTGTGATTTCTTCATTATATAAGATTATATTGAGTTTGGAAACAATCTAAATATTTAGCTGCAGAAAGTGGCTTAATTTGGGACGCCTGAGTAGCTCAGTGATTGAGCGCCTGCCTTTGTCCTAGGGCGTGATTCCAGATTCCCGGGTTCAAGCCCCATATTGGGCTCCTTGCATGGAGCCTACTTCTCCCTCTGCCTGTGTCTCTGCATCTCTCTCTCTCTCTGTCTCTTATGAATAAATAAATAAAAATCTTCTTAAAAAGTGGCTTAATTCTGGTATATCCATGAAGAAGAATGTTACTATGTTTCAGTAATACTTAATTGCATGGAAACTTGTTAAATGAAAAAAAAAGGTAGTATGATACGTTTTTAGAGAGGATAAAGACCAGGAAATACAACAAAAAATTTAAGTATATATCTTGGGATGGTAGAATTATGGATTTTTAAAATAGTTTTTCTTCTATGTAAAGTCCTATGTTTTAAAATTTTCTGCAGCAAATATGAATTTTCTTTTATAGTCTTTTTTTAAAATCACCACTATATTTATTATAAATCATGACTGCTATTTACAGTCCATGAAAGCACTCAGTTGTGAAGTCTTTCTTTTTCAAGCTTTCTCCATATTTTTAGAGATGCAGAGTCATATACTCTTAGAATTTGAGAGGGGTCATCTGGCCCCCTAGCAAGCCTCAAGCATAAATACCCTGTAGCCCTGTGTGGTCTCACCTTTCATCTTCACTGATAGGCAGCTCACCCCACAGGGCAGCCATCTTGGGACGCTTCTGATTTTTCGGAATCAGTAAGCGTTACTAATCACTTTGCTACACTAAGCAAAAATATGTCTCTTTTTAACTCCTGTGCAGTGTTTCTGATCCTGCTGTAGAGGTCACAGAAAACAAACACAGATCCTCTTTCACATCACAGCCCTTCATATGGTAACCCCAAGTTGTACTTCCCAAATTTTATTATACAAACAAATTACCGCAGGAGCTTGTTAAAAGAGGCCTAAGCCCCACCCAAGAATCCCCAGCATCTCTGGAGAGCAGGGCCAGATGTGCACTGGATGGATCTGCTATTGGAAGAGAGACTAGAACACGAGCAGCCAGGAAACAACATTGTCCTCCAGAAACTTGACATTGAATATATTATGTTTCTCTTCAGGAACCATGAAACTTGGAATATAGGGAAACTACTTAAATATCTCTTTCATCTTTCCAAAATACTCTGGGCCAAACTTCAGCTTACTGTATGCACAACCTTGATTTCTTGATTATTTTTTTATCTCTCTATCGGAGATGGAGTTTTCATCTGTAAAAGTGATACATATTTGCTGTAAAGAAATTTGTTTACGGGTGCCTGGGTGGCTCAGTTGGTTAAGTGTCTCACTTTGGCTCAAGTCATGATCTCAGGGTCCTGGGATTGAGCCCCAAGTCCAGCTCCCTGCTCAGCAGGGAGTCTGCTTTGCCCCTCCCCCTACTTATGCGCGCGCGCTCTCTCTCTCTCTCTCTCTCTCTCAAATAAATAATAAAATCTTTAAGAAAAAAATTTTCTTAGGTAAATATTTTAAAAATTTGTCTTATCCTCTATTCCTTTTCCATGGTTAATTTCTATTAATAGTTTGGCATACCATTTGACTTTTTTTCTCTATGTAAATAAATGTGTGCACATCCATACCTGCTTTTGTTTTTTTGACAGAATGAGCTCATATTTCTTGAATTGTTTTGCAAGTACACTGAAACCTCCATGAAGGAACATATCACAATTTTATTATCACACCTAAAGAAATTAACACTAATTGTCTAATATTTTCATATTCAGGTAGTATGCAGATTTCCCTGATTGTCTTTTTGCACTTGGTTTATTTGAATCTGGATCCAAACAAGATCTACCCATTACAGTTGACCAAAGGTCTCTGAAGTCCCTTTTAAACTGTAACAGTGGGGCAGCCCAGGTGGCTCAGTGGTTTAGCACCACCTCCAGCCCAGGGTGTGATCCTGGAGACCCGGGATCGAGTCCCATGTCGGGTTCCCTGTATGGAGCCTGCTTCTCCCTCTGCCTGTGTCTCTGCATCTCTGTCTCTCTCTGTCTCTCATGAGTAAATAAATAAAATCTTAAAAAAATAAACGGTAATAGTTCCTTCTCCTTCATTTCCCCCCTGTCATTATTTTTTTTAAAAAACAGGCCTATTCATTAGAAGATCCCATATTCTGGCTGGCTGAGGGCATCCATTTAGTGTCATTCTGTTTATCTCTTGGTTCTTCTCTTCTCTGCATTTCCCATAAGATGATAGATCCGATCAGATTTAGGTTTAGTTTTGGTAAGGATACTTCATAGACAGTGCTATGTTTAGCTGTGTTGAACAAATGAAGTAACTTGCCTTTTTTCACTTAATATATTATGTGCTGCTTTTTCTCATAGTATTTAGAGATCTATCTCATTCCTCCTCTTAGCCACTTAATAACTTCCTAATATGGACTACCATGGCCTATTGAATCCTTATCAACTTGGTCATTTCCATTTTGCAGTTTTAACAATTCAGTAAATGTATTGGATTCTTAGATAAGTCCAAAACAGATCAATAAACTGAGATGGAAAAGGTAAGCTAGAGGTGTATATGTTTAACTTAAGTTTTGGTTTTATATTAAAAGATATATTTGGGAATCCCTGGGTGGCTCAGCGGTTTAGCTCCTGCCTTTGGCCCAGGGCGTGATCCTGGAGTCCATGGGATCGAGTCCCACGTCGGGCTTCCTGCGTGGAGCCTGCTTCTCTCTCTGCCTATGTCTCTGACTCTCTCTCTCTCTCTGTCTCTCCCTGTGTCTTTCATGAATAAATAAAATAAAAACCTTTAAAAAAATAGAAGATATATTTATGTCTAAAAATATATCTCTAAAATCTCTAACTGCTAAATAGATTACTTACATATTAGGGGGAAAAAGCAATCTGAAGAAGAATCAGTTTGTTAGGGGGTGGGGCAGGAAAAAATAATCAGTTTGTCTTTGATGTGTCTTTGGATGATGTGTGTTGCATTCCAGAGAAGAATAATGGGATGATATGAAGAAAGGTATACATACGTCAGATGGACGGAGATATAATCACGTTCTCCTTCAGCAGATGGACGGAAATGTAGTTTTTTGGTTTTTCAGAAGGGGAGACATGTGGTGTGTGCTATGCCATTTAAGCATTTATTTTTTATTTATTCATCCATCCATCTGTTTAATTATGCTCAGGTACATAGCCAGTTGAGAATCTGAATGTACTTTGGATGAAGCACAAAACCTTTCTGCTTTGTAGTTTAAGTGTCTGTAAAATGGAAATAAGTTTTTTTATGGCTCATTATGATCCTCATGGTCATATAATGGTAATGTAAATATTTGATATGGTTTCTCAATTTAACCCTAGTGAATTTTTAAAAAGCCAAATTTTAAAGTCTTTTTTTTTTCCTGGCAATTTACTTATGGTTTTCTTTTTCTTTTAGTTATAGGTAAACATTGGAAACTCCATGCATTTTCTACAGAAAAATGGCAGAGAAGTCAGTACTGAATGTAGTAAATTGGCTTTCTTCTTCAGGAAAAACTATACCAGGCTTCTTTGTTATCTTGGGTGATACCATACTACCAGTGGACTAATCGGAAATCCTTTCACCTAGAGATAATGTCCAGCATTAGAACTCCTGGTTCTCATGTTGCTATTTATGTACATAATTAAAATTCTGAATTAAAAAAAAGTTGTTCTGGTTTTTGTTAATATGTATTATTGAGTGACAGTTTAAGCATATCTGGTGCCCATGTGTGTGGTATGTATGCATGGTTGTACATGTGTTATGTCTCCCTGTACATGTATGTGGGTGATGTGGGTGTGTGTTAAAGAAAACCGTTAACTCCCCTCAGGGGAGCACCAGCTGGCAGTCTGCACAGTCCAAGCCCCAGATCCAAGCCCCACAAGTGTGGAGTCAAGCAGAGTGGCTCTAGAGTTGACAGACAATGCTTCAATGGCCAGCACGAGAACATAACTTGTAAGTAATAGTTGGCCTGACGGTGATTAGAAGACATACAAAAGAAAACAGTAACCGTGACCCCTGGTTGCATTCTGTTGCCTCCCAGCTTATACAGATCTTGTACTTCTTGAATGCCAGTGGGAGATACGTAATGAAGTAGTCTCTGTCCTCTGCCAGCGGAGGAATGACATGTGGTCATGTGTGTTGATTTTGTGTATGTAGGCCGTGTATTCACTTTTGTGACCCCTGAATGCGCAGCTTATTAAGCTTTGTATTTTCAGTGCCAATGGGAACAGCAGGAGCCCCTTTTGACATGTCAGCCAGCAAGGGACGATGGCCAGGGAGGGGCCTCTGAAGCAAAATTGAGAATTTCCGAATTGAAATGAGATTGGAAGTTAAAAGGTACCTTTGTATTCTTGTAGTGTCAATTTAATCCCTAATTGTTGACCTTCCAGATTTGATAGCATTTGGTACGATAGCAGTACACAAATGGAATGTGCTCGTGTTAATGTTAAATACATATGATAGAGCCAAAATGGCAAAGAATGTTTCCAGCATTATCACCGGACTAATGAGGTGAAGCAAATTTGTCCCTAGAATAATCCCCATAGTGACCCAGAAGTCTGTATTTCTTTTTATTGCTGAGATACTTTTGTGTTACTGTGCCCAAAATTTAATATCTCATAAATATATTATTATTATTTCAGGCTTTTCCCATTGGCTTGGCTTCCTATATCACCCACAGAAAGTAGAAACTCCCCAAGTTTCCTCGTTCTTGAGATTGCTTATCTAGAGAAGAAATTGCTCTTGAGATCATTAATCAAAAGGTATTTGAGTGCCTCCTAACTGTAAAGTATTACTTCCATTTTTAATCCTTTAGATGATACTGAAACATTGCCTTAAAACCTCTTAAATCCTCCAAGTGGGGGGAATGGGGGTGGGGGTCACAGAGCCGGCTCGGAGCAATATGTGGTCTCTGTTTAGGTCAGCAAGGTCATCACTTTCCAACCAGGCTAACTCAGTTGCTCTTTATACTATATAATCTTTTCCTTATCTGGTGATTTTTATCCAATGCTGCCTACCTTTTACATTTATCACTTTTTGCTTGCCTTCCATGAACCCTGAACTGTAGAAAATAAAAAATTTGCATATTATAAGATCTTGCATTTTTCCAGCTCTTTCTAGTTTTCACAGTACTAGTTTATATCTTTCCTTCCTTGGCTTATTCCTGACATCAGTACATCTGTACTCTGTTTTTATGTTTATACTTTTTATTGTTTTTTTTTAAAGATTTATTTATTTATTTATGATAGAGAGAGAGAGAGGCAGAGACACAGGCAGAGGGAGAAGCAGGCTCCACACCAGGAGCCTGACGCGGGACTCGATCCCGGGACTCCAGGATCACACCCTGAGCCAAAGGCAGGCGCCAAACTGCTGAGCCACCCAGGGATCCCCCTTTTTTTATTTTGTTTATTTATTTATAGAGACACAGAGAGAGAATGAGAGGCAGAGACACAGCAGAGGGAGAAGCAGGCTCCATGTAGAGAGCCTGACGCGGGACTCGATCCAGGGTCTCCAGGATCACGCCCCAGGCTGCAGGCGGCGCCAAACCGCTGCGCCACCGGGGCTGCCCGGGATCCCCCTTTTTATTGTTTTTTTTATGACCAATTACCCTTATGATAAAACTGAATCTCAATTCAGTTTATCTGTGACTTAATCAGGACAATTCTATTTTTTTAAGATTTTTGTTTTATTTATCCATGAGAGACACACAGAGAGAGAGAGAGAGGCAGAGACACAGGCAGAGGGAGAAGCAGGCTCCATGTAGGGAGCCCGACGTGGGACTCGATCCCAGGTCTCCAGGATCATCCCCCAGGCTGAGGGCAGCGCCAAACTGCTGAGCCACCCGGGCTGCCCAGGACAATTCTATTTTAATAACTTTAGAGACTTTGGAGGGAACGCTCTCTACCATACAGAGTGATTTAAGGGACTCCGAAGAGACAAATGTGGTGTAGTCTGTTCTGTAATAATGTGGTGGTTGGAGTCCTAAGAAAGATTGCTTTATCGCAAATCAAGATTGTAAAGCAGTTGTTTCAGTGGGAGGAAAGGGACTAGAGATGCTAAAGAATGCCTTCATCAATCTTACCACCTGTGCTGCCATTTGGGACAAAATCAAAACAATAGTAGTAGCTAGAAGAACCAAGGCCAGCTGAGGGAATGCCTACCTTGGTGGTACAGTAGCAGGTGCCTGGGCCAGTGGGTTAGCAGTTTTTATTATAAATGCACTCCTGGATCCCAGCCCACAAGTGGCCCCTGTACTGCAAAGTACTTCCCTAGTGGATCAATGACATGAATTCAGTAAAGTCTCAGGATACAGAATCAATGTATAGAAACCTGTTGTGTTCTTGTATGCTAAAAATAAAGCAACGGAAGGTGAAATTAAAATCCCATTTACAGTTGCACCAAAAACAATAAAATATCTAGGGATAAACTTAATCAAAGAGGTGGAAGACCTATACTCTGAAAACTGTAAAACACTGATGAAAGAAATTCAGGATGACACAAAGGCATGAAAAGACATTCCTTGCTCATGGGTTGGAAGAATTGGGTTGTCTGTCCTACCCAAAGCAGTCCACACATTTAATGCAATCCCTACCAAAGTACCGAGAGCATTTTTCATAGAACTTAAACCAACAATACTAAAATTTGTATGGAACCACAAAAGACCTCAAATAGCCAGAATGATTTTGAAAAAGAAGAACAAAACTGGAGGTATTACAATCCCAGGTTTCAAGTTATATTACAAAAGGGTAATCATTAAAACAGTATGGTACCAGCATAAAAATAGACACCTAGATCAATGGAATAGAACAGAAAACTCAGAAATAAACCCACAATTATATTGTCAATTAATTTTCGACAAAGGGGGGATGAATATACAGTGAAAAAAAAAGTCTTCAACAAATAGTGCTGGGAAAACAGGACAAGAGAATGAAAACTGAACCACTTTCTTTCACCATACACAAAAATAAACTCAAGATGGGTTGAAGACTTAAATGTGAGACTGGAACTCATAAAAATCCTCTAGGAGGAGTACCTGGGTGATTCAATCAGTTAAGCATCTGCCTTCAGCTCAGGTCACGATCCCAGGGTCCTGGGATCAAGCCCCACCACGAGGCTCTCTGCTCAGCAGGGAGCCTGTTTCTCCCTCTCTCTCTGCCTGCCTCTCCCCTTGCTTGTACTCTCTCTGTCAAATAAATAAATAAAACCCTTAAAATTCTTCAGGAGAGCACAGGCAGTAATTTATCATACATTGGCAGTAGCAGCAGTTTTCAAGGTATGTCTCCTGAGGCAAGGGCAATAAAAGCAAAAATAAACTATTGGGACTACATCAAAATAAACAGTTTCTACACAGCAAAGGAAATAATCAACAAAACTAAAAGGCAACATACAGAATGGGAGAAGATACTTGCAAATGACATATCCAATAAAGGATTAGTATCCAATATATATATATACCTGATACAGCTCAACACCCAAAAAAAATAATCCAGTGAAAAAAAGTGGACAGAAGACATGAACAGACATTTCTCCAAAGAAGACATCCAGATGGCCAATAGACACATGAAAAGAAGTTCATCGTCACTCATTATCAGGGGAGTACAAATCAAAACCACAATGAGATATCAGCTCACACCTGTCAGAATGGCTAAAATCAAAAACACAAGAAACAGTAAGTGTTGGTGAGGATGTGGAGAAAAAGGAACCCTTGTGCACCATTGGTGGGAATGTAAACTGGTGCAGCTACTGTGGAAAACAGTATGGGAAAAAAAAAAAGAAAAAAAGAGAACAGTATGGAGGTTCTTCAAAAAAAATAAAAATAGAACTATCTATGATCCAGTAATTGCATTCCTGGATATTTACCCCCCAAAATGCAAAAACACTAATTCAGATGGTTACATGTACTTGTATGTTTACAGCAGCATTATTTGCAATATCCAAACTATGGAAATAGTAGCCCAACTGTCCCATCAATTAATGAATAAAGAAGTGGTTACAGTTACATACAGATATATATATATATTATTCAGCCATGAAAAAGAATGAAATCTTGCCATTTGCAACAACATGGCTGGAGCTAGAGAGAGTTCCTCTAAGTGAAATAAGTCAGAGAAAGACAAATACCGTATGATCTCACTGATATGTGGAATTTAAGAAACAAATGAGCAAAGAAAAAGAGACAAACTAAGAAAGAAATGGAGTCTCTACTATAGAGAACAAACTGATGGTTACCAGAGGAGAGGAGGCTGTGGGAATGGGTGAAATAGGAGATGGAAATTAAAGAGTACACCTATCATGATGGGAAAAAAAATGATAAAAGAAATAATGTTTTCGTTCACGACCAGCTGAAAGAAACTTGCTTGCGGTTTTGGTTTTTACCCTGTACACCTCCTGTCTGATGTTTTGTTTCCCTTTTGATAGATTCAAATTGCAAGTCCACAATTAGCTTGGACATAGTTCTAAAGGTACAATTAGATCAGACTCTCGACATGACCGAAGTTCAGGCTTATTTATATTTGGGAAATGATAGCCAAAGAAATTTCTGGATGGAGCAGGTTTGTTTTCATAAGCAAAGAGTTTCGCTGTTTTACATTTTGTTCACTTAGCAGTGCTGAATGAGTGACCTGTATTTCATATTTAAGGGCCTTTGTCTTCTCAGTTAATTCTAGAGCTTTGTTATT